ATATTAGAGTAGCTTTTACACTTTAAAAGAATCAATCAACTTTCATCCATATTTATAGTTGTGCACAGAAAGGTACCTTTTTCCAGAATCTATTTCCTCTGACTTTCTTGAAAACATAACATGATCAGCATACTCTAAAGAAAGATATTACAAGCCAAGGCACCAATAGGAAGAATTTGATAGTACCTGGCACGATAGAACAAGAAAACATGACTAGAAAAAATAAAAATATTTTGTTTAAATGTTTCGGTAACTGAAATATATACTTTAAATATAGCAGAGCTTTGTTTCTTTGAAAAGCTAGTCAAGTATCTTTATGGTTATCTTTCTTCACTAAAAATAGAAAAAAAAACAATGCAAAATTGTATCTACTGACAGTCCAATTAAATACACTGAATGTATGAATGTCGGACACTGCCTCTGTCTTACACAATGCTGTGTTCTGGTTGTGGGACGCGAATCTCTGAAGTGCTCCTGGGCTTCTCCTGTCTTCAGTGGAGGCCTCATCATTCACACACGACTATTTTGATAAAATACTAGTAAGCTAAGTCTTGCTTGATTTCAGTCAGTCATTGTTATATGAATGAGGTGGTTATTTTGTCATTGCCTTGTTTAGATTTGTTACTGGCATTGGGAAACTGTTCTTTAGCTGATGTTTGTAAAGAGAGGAAGTACTTAAAAATAGTACCACTGATAAAAGAAAATCCTCTCTAAGAAGAGTTTCTTTAGAGAGCTGTTGTGTTATCCTGAGGGCGCTCTGTTGGGAAAGCAGAATAAAGTTCGACCAACACCTTTTAAGTCATGTTCTTTAGTCATAGAGTTCTACTGTATTATACCTCCATGAATGTAGGTTACTTTGTACATGATTCATGACATATACGAGTGATTATGCATAATCAGCTGCTTTAAAGTTGCTCTCCAAGTTTTTTCTAGATATGGTTTGAAAAACTAATGCAGACATAATGCTAAGTATAATAGGCTAAAGGAAAAAATTCCATAGTTGATTATTCTTTGGATTTTACTATTTTATTCTCTTCCTCTGTCTCTCTCCCCTTCCGTCTCTGCCTGTCTCTGTCGCTGTCTGTCTGTCTGTCTGTCTGTCTGTCTGTCTGTCTGTCTCTCTCTCTCTCTCTCTTTCTCTCTCTCTCTCTCTCTCTGTGTATGTGCATATGCCTGTAAAGAGCAATTAATAATAAATAAATAGAAGTGATGTCCTCCTGATGAAAACTGGACTGTAGTAAAGAGTACAAAAATGTGAGTGAGAAAGCAGCCCTGCGAGAAGGGTTGTTGCTGCCATCCATGATGAGCAGGTAACAAAGAAAGCGCTTGAACACAGCTTGAGAGAGAAATACCTCAGGTAGACCCAATAAGTCCTGCTTCTGAATGAGAACGGATAGTCACACCAAAAATACAAGGGCTAGGAAAGCAGCTGGACAGAGCCACGGCTATTTATTGAGATGACAAGGCAGCGAGAGCAACAAGCGCTTGTTGTTTGTTATCTTGTTTATTATTTTTTTATTTGGGTAGGGTTGGAGAAGATTTGTGGGTTTTCATAATAAATTATTTAAAATATCGGATATTCTTTACCTACTGGGGTATTCAATAGGTATTGAATTTAAATTTGAAATTCAGAGGTGTGAACTAGCTTAGAGGTATAAATATGAGTCTTTTCAGTCTATCAATGACATTAAATATACACTCTTGGATGAAGAGGCACAATAGCTGAAGTCCAAGGACCAGCCTTTGAGGCAATCTAACACAGAAAAGCCTGATTGCTGACATAAGCCAGTGAAGGAAAATGAAAGCCTGGGGTCGGTTCTGCCGCCTACCATTTGGGAGAATGTGATCCACACAGCTATGTGAAGGACGTGGAGGAGACATGTGTGGATAATGCTACGAGGCTTAATGTTTTTATGGAAATGGATGCATCATAACTTTTAATAGTTTATTGTTAGCTCAACTTTTATTGTTCAATAGTGGTCGAATCCTTGGAATCTTAAAGACTTCTGGCCAGCAATCCATTCCAGCAGCTGATAGGGAGGGTCCTTGACCAGGGCTCCTGCCATCCCTGTCAAAGCCATCTCATCTACCAGCATAAACCACCTTCCTGCCCATGTGGACATGGGTTTAATGCTAGGGCATGATTGCTTGAGACAGTGATCATCCAGTCACCACAGGAATTAGAGGAATTAGACGCTTTCCTGTCCTGACAACACCCAGTAGCTCCAATTACAGGAGAGGCTGGATCTCTCTGCCCTGGAACATAAACAAAATCCACTTAGCGGGTTATTAGTTATTTCTTTTCTCCTTAGGATCATATTTAAACAAATCCCTTTCAGTCTCTCAGATATCATCCACAATTTCTTTCTATATAAATAACTTCCATAAGGGGATTTAATGGCTCATTTGAAAAGGAAATTATTGAACACTCTTGAAGGTCAAGCACAGGACTTCAGTGTCATAAATCTGGGTGTACATCTTTATATTGGGCAAGAGAAACCAAAAACTTAGCATAGAAAGGAAAGAAAACACAAACCAAATTTAATGTTTATGGAAGGCTTGCACTGTACCAGGTATTTGTCTACATACCTTGACATACGTTATTCAGAATGAATTAACAACTGGAATAATATCTTAATATGTGTCAGGCCAACAGTAAGGTATTAAACAATTTCTTGATACTAATTACCTATGCAGCTTTTAACACATTGTTATAAGTTGCAAAGATATATTCATGTAAAATATAATAATGAAGCTATTTAAATTAAATTCTATGAAAAAACTTCAGGGAAAGATTACTGAATTTTCCAAATAAGATATTTTGTACTTAGAGACCTACAACATTCTTTATTCTTCATTTTACCATTAAACTTTATTTCATGATTTTATTTTATTATATTTTATTTATTTATGTGTGTGTGTGTGTGTGTGTGTGTGTGTGTGTGTGGCCAGCTCAGCCCACCAGGGGGTGGGGCTGGCTGGCTTGTGGTGCTGGGGGATTGAATCGCGGTCCCTTGTGCTTCGCTAAGCTTGTTCTAAGTAGGTGCTTTAGACCACTGAGCCATCTCACCAACCCTCATGTTTTTCAGCTTGAGGAAATTATGTCATTATCTTAATTATACCCTCTGTGTGTTTGTTTTCTGAAATCCCTCAAACTCTGTCTTTTGGTCTTTTTCCTTTGAGACTGTCACCACTTTATTTCTAATACTTTAGTTCAGTTTTTATTTTGACTGATATGATTTCAATTCCTGAAATCTCTTTTTAAGTTTTTTATTAATGCACATTTGTGAATTCATAAAAAAATTTGCATATTCACTGTAACAACATTTCAAATAAACAACTGAAATAGAGGAATGTGATTCAGCCTACAGAAGATTAAAACTTACAGCAGTTATACTTTTTTAAAGGGGGAGGAACTTATATAATACTTAGGATTTGGGTAGAGAAAAAAAAGATGGACTTATTTATAGTTCTGTGAAAGGGTCAAGAGATTGTTGTGAAAGGTAAACATGTAAAATACCTACACATAGAGCATCTTGTGACAATGTTCAACTTTTTGTTTTTTGTTTTTTTTTGTGAAACCAGGGATTGAACTCAGGCCCTTGAGCTTGCCAGGCAAGCACTTATTCTACTGAGCCATCTCCCCAACCCCTTTTTTCAACTTTTCATATTTATTTATTTATTTATTTATTTGTGTTCAACTGGAATAGTAGGGAAACCACTAATACCCAGGCATCAGTGGACAATTTACATTTAATTAACTTTTCTATGCATTTTTTCATATGCAATTAAGTTTCATGGCAACTTTGTTTTTCTTTTTGTTTATTTTTGGCGGAGCCAGGGATTGATCTCAGGTCTTTGTGCTTGCCAGGGAAGTGCTTATTCCACTGAGCCATCTCCTCAGCCCCTTTGTTTTTCAATAAGCAACAATTCTTATGTCTTAAATCCATATACAGAATTTTAGACTTATCTTTTTCTTCATTGATAAGTATGTTAGGAAAGAAAAGTCTCTTGGTTTATGTTCACAGATGAGTTAGGTATATTGGTATCATATAACTCATCAATACTGGTAAAGCAGTGAATGACCTATAGTGTTGAAGAGTCTCAAGTCTAGTGACTTGCAGCTGAGGTGTATCTTGGACTTTACCAGGAATGGCCATGACCACCCCTCAGGACCTCCTGGGCTCCAGATCCCTTTGCTGCCCCCAGTTGCTCAGAATAGCTCTAGGAGTGCTGTCAGCCACCAAGTGCAGAGCAGAGGAAAGCACATGGCCAAGAAGTAAATGGTGGGCCTTCCTGATACTCAGCAAACTAAAGCACCTGCTTAGGCAGAGCGCAGCAGCCAGGGTTCCATCCCTGCATGCGTCCTGCCCCCCACCCCCCTCGGCCTCCCACCCCATGCTGAGTGGGCACGGCAATGCAAGCCTGTAATTCCAGCACTTGGGAGGCTGAAAACAGGAGAATCACCACAAGTCTTATCTGAATAGTGAGGCCCTGTAGACCCTGTTCTAAATACAGAAGAAAAGAAGAAGAAGAAGAAAGAAGGAAGAAGAAGAAGAAGAAGAAGAAGAAGAAGAAGAAGAAGAAGAAGAAGAAGAAGAAGAAGAAGAAGAAGAAAATGGTATTGGATATTTTGTCCTT